AATCATAAAACGAATGTGTGAGAGCTCTTATTTGCATCAAGCCTATGCTTTTAAAACATGCAGGGGTGTGGACAAGTGCTGGGTTCATCTCAGACTGGTGCAGCGAGCCCGTAAATGCAATCAATGGCTGTTGTTTAGGAAACTTGGGAGCGGAGAATGTAATTCAGAATTTTGTGAATTACTAAGTTACACTCTGCCGTCATTTTAAACAGCCAGTCTGGGTTTGACGTTTTAACAATTATCCTCCTTGCTGTGACCTCTGACGCCAGGTAGGATTCACGAAAACACCTTTGCTAATGTTACATTTGCTCCGTTCGACCTACCTGGGCTCACCTTTCAGTATATACAGCTCAGTCTCCTCCACTTCTCATGAGCCTCACTGGCTCGTTATCTTTCATCATATCTTTTCTTCTGCCTGCCTCTGCCTTTCACACATCTACTATGCTTCCAGTCTCATCCTTACACTCCCCTCCACCACCCTTTATTCAAAATTAGACAGATGATCCTGACAGTCTGCATTAATTGTGTATGGTAGCATTAAGTCTCTAAGCACTGAGACGGGTCAGGCCGTTCGGAAGAAAGATGAGCCGATGTCAGTTAATGTGACAGTTGAGTGCCTTTATGCTCACGCCAGTCCAGCTGCCCTCTCCCTTTTTATTTCCCCCTTTTCACTCCCACCCAGCCTCCACTCCCCAGAGGATGACTGCCAGTTGCTCTTTCTCCTGTGCCACAGATAAGGAAGGAAGGCTTCTCTAATGTGACAGTCCAGAACAACAGCAGGCTGTCAATCCAATAAACCGCTCTTTGTTGCCGTAATGACAATGACTCAAGTGCGTTTCTGTAACGCCTTTTGACAGTTTTAGTTGATGCTGTTTTCAAAATGAGCAAGCCGCCTTGTGCTTTGTTGAATGCCAGTTTAGAGAAGTGTTGATTAAATTTATGTACAAAGATTTCTTTCAAGCCAGACCTCATTGCTAAATATCCTTGACTATGATGAACAGCTTTAGTCATATTTGAGGGGACCTGGGCCATACGACAGTTTAGACTGGGTAATAATGGACTGTTGTCAAATTCTCAGAGCTATGAGATGTGGTTGATTTACGCAGATGTAGATTAGCTGGTGTAGGTTGGACTTCTAGGCATTGGCTAATTAGAGACGTGAAGACCTAAGTTTATTAGCAGTAGCGTATGGAGTGGACCTACAGTGGAAATGCATCAAGGACTACTCGCACGTTAAACATAACCTTTATCTTGCATCTTATTTCAGACGTCCACATTGCACTGCACAAAGCTCTAATTGGATCTGCTCTCATACAGATGAGACAAGGACATTAAGCCTCACCCACTCAGGCCCCATCTTTAATGGTTTTAATAATAACATTCTTGTTGACACCATGTGCGGCAAAACTTGACCCTCGATTTTTCTTTATGCAAGCAAAAATAATTCCTTTTTCCTTTTCATCCCAGTTTTCTAGTGTTTGAATCGACTAAAATGGAGAACAGAGAAAAGGAGATTCTGTGATTTATTAATGATATAATCAACAAATTGATAGCAGAAATAATTGTTCAGACCTTTAAGTGTGCCCAGTGTGATTCAAGGCCAATTCAGTTTAGTTCGATTTAATTTGGTTATTTGCAATTAGCGTATTAGTTGAGCTGAATATTTATTTTCGTTGCTGCCCCTGTAATATGTAATAAACAGTGGTGGCTCTGTGGCAGTGCACGCTGGTGTTTGGTGCCTAAATGCCCATCAGTAACTTGTGTTCATCATTAATGGAGCTTGTTAATGGCCACATTACCTCCTGTTAAATCTCGCTGAAGTTTTGACCTAATGAAATGAGAAATGCAGTGCTGTGCAAAAGTCTTGAGCCCATACTCTTTTCTTTGTTTCCAAGGAGCCAGAGGCAATACTTCTGGGCTTTTTGAAGGGCCTTGTAAGTGACCATTTTTAGGGGAATGGGTTGTTTTTGACCTGTGAATCAGTGAAGCTTGAAAAGATACTTTACTCAAAGGATGAAACAGTGTTTTGTACATACACATAATTGACAACTTGGCAAAGAATCAATTTTAAATTGTATCTTTAGGGAGTTTGTTATTAACAGCCTTCTACAAAGGCTGCTATAAAGGGCGTCAGAGGACCTCGTGTCCTTGAAGTCATTGGTCTGTCTGATGCGCTTGTAGTAGTGGAACTCCCACAATTGGTCATGCCAGAGGCTGCTTCCCATAGTGAAATACCGAGGAAGGCTTGAAAGAATCGCTTTAGTTAAATATACAAAGAATCTACAAAATGCCAGAGATAACAGTTTGAAAATACTTTTTTTGTGCTGTGATTTTATACTTGTCAAAGTTGAAAGTTTGGCAGTCCAAAAAAACTCTATGGCAGATGAACAGTATGTGAAAGACATGTCCTTTAAAAATCGGGCAAAAAATTATCCAGCAAAGACCTGACGCAGGACTTTTCACTGATCAATCTACCATTCAACGTAGCTTCATCTGAAATGGTCTAAGTGGAAGGTCGGCTGTTAGTAAGTCGTTCTTAAGGCAGGAAAGCGGGGAGAAAAGGCTGTGGTGTGCCAAATTACACAAGAACTAGATTGGTAACAGGTTTTATGAAGTGATGAATCCAAATTATTAGTATGTACAGAGAAGGTCAGGACTAACAAGGAATGTTTATAGCTGTCTATAAAACACGGTGGAGCTCTTCCATGGTCTTTAGCTCCAATTCAGCCAGTGATGTTGGATTTTTTTCAAAGTTAATGGAATTCTGAATGTAGAAAAGTGTGATCAGATTTCAATCCACCATACAGTAGCACGTTGCCAATGCAGAAAAAAGCATACCTGGATAGACGAACACAAAATTGATTAGTATCAGTCATGGATTGGCCTCCCCAGAGCCTGAACAACATCATCATCATGACTGAATTGAACAAGGAGAATTATTCCTGAAGACTACTTAAATAAAATACAAGAAAGCCTGTCAAAGAGTTTGGGCTGCGTTGAAGAATAAAGTTATTCATATTATACAATAAAGTTATCAGATATCGACTTTAAAGCTCGATTAAGTTGTACAAGCTCTATTTCCATGTGTGTTTGCGCATGTTACAATGGACCTATTTCCCATTTTCCTAGAAAAATATAAAGAAATAAGGGGTAGCTCAAGACTTTTATACAGTACTGTACTTTATAGCAGTTGAGATGATGTAGTATTAGATTAGTTAGACAAGCCTGATCAGTAAGTAGTGTGGTCGCTGCTATCCATGATGGATAACAGTCAGTTCAGTGACTTCCTCTCCAACACAGCTTCAGAAGTGTACGGTTTACGGCCAATCACAGAGCCAGCCTTCATAATCAGTTTATCTAGTCTGTTGCTGTCATCAGCTCAGACTCTGCTCCCCCCAGCAGACCACAGCAAAGTACGCTGTACTTGCCACAATCGACTGACTGGACAATATCCATCATTTTGCTGCACATATTTAAGGATCTCAGCTTGCTTAGGTAATAGAACTTGCTCATTGGGTGAGGTAATAGAGCTTTCCTCCCTCTTTTATGCACAGGCTCTGTGTTGGCCTGTTGTTGATATGGATGCCCAGGTACTTGTACTCACCCTATATATCAACATCATGCCACAGAATAGATGTGGGTCATGTAACTGTCCTCTTTCTTCTCTAACTCTTCTAAGTTTTTCCTCTAATGTTTTTATATTACATTACATCCGAGTCCTGAAATGTTATTCACTTGTGACTGAAAAGCTAGTCACACAGCATTTCCAGAACAATCATTGCCCAGACAATTGACTATTGATTACACAAATGATTATATTTTTGTTTTTCTCCTGTGTAAATATTACAGAACATTCACTACAAATCGGTAAAAGTGACAGTTTTCCGAATTGAAAGCGGTTTCATTTTCCGATCAATACCTGATGATAACCTACACGTCAATTCTCCATATACCCGCTTAACAGCTGGTTCGCACAGCACACAGTCTATAAGATCGACTGTCGTGTGGCGTCTACGTGCGTTCGATGTGGTACGAGCCCACGTTAAATCTTCTCGCAAGCAGCTTAAAATTATTCACGAGTTACGCCTTCCATTTTCCCACAATTTGTCTGAACACACAGCAGACGGAGACGTAGATTTTTGTATGCAGCGCTTAATTAGTGAGAGAATGTGGAAAATGAACACATTAGAGCTGCGATTCACCTCAAGTCATTTAATCTTAAGAGAATTAGCAGCTTTCACTAATACAACGAGTATTCCCACGGCGAGAGGCTCGCACTGAGGGTCGGGGAGGGAGAGGTCACATTTGAACATCTGTTCAATGGGAGACGAGAAAAGCCTGATGCCATCCCCCGTCTGTTGGAAGCTATTGGAACCATTTTTAATTTGGCTTCTGATGTTGATTTAATTTTAGTCTTTTGATCAAAATGTGCGTTGTTTTGTTTTTTTTGTAACCTTATTTTTAAGTAAATCCTCTAAGGGTTTTTAGGATACAGCTCTGACTGTCGTCGTTGCGTAAGGTCATCACGACTACAGGTGCTGCTCTCATCTGTCCCAAGGTTTACAGAAAAGGCAATCCATACCTCTCTACTCTCCAGTGATGGAACTAATCAACTCTCTGCACTTTACTTTTCCCTCTCTGTCAACATGGATAACATCAGAATAATGCAGCACATACCTGGTCGTTTCAGGAAAGGCAGTGAGCCTTTGTGAGTGAAATCTATGTGTTACTCATGAAATCTGCTTGAGGAAATTAAACCTCTGTTTAAAAAATGTTGGGAGGTTAAGTGTAGTTTTCTTTGGCGCTGGCTAAAATCTCTTTGGTAGGCGCCAAAAATGTGTAAAGGGGGAAAAATAGTCTGACTTAACAGTGTTCCTTTAACTTATGTTACTATAGATGTTGAGGCTTCTCTGTTCTGGTTTTATTTCCTCTTTGCATTTCTCACAAACTCTTCTTCTGTTTTTTTATTTTATTTTTTATTTTTTAAAACCTTCCCTCAGGTGTACCCAGGGCTCATGGCGACTGCAGGCCTTATCCACTACGTGCTCAACATGCTCCACATCACCGTCCACATTCGTGATGTGTGCGTCTTTCTTGCGCCTGTGTTCAGCGGCCTGACCGCCATCTCCACCTTCCTGCTAACCCGGGAGCTGTGGAACCAGGGTGCCGGGCTGCTGGCAGCCTGCTTCATCGCCATCGTCCCCGGTTATATCTCTCGCTCCGTCGCCGGCTCCTTTGACAATGAGGGCATCGCCATCTTCGCCCTGCAGTTCACCTACTACCTCTGGGTAAGTTCAGACTTAAAAGTGCCGTAAGGAGGAATCTTATTGTATAGAGGAGACAGTTTAAACTTCTTTGTGAGGAATCAGATTCATGCTCACTCTTTTGGGAGGATTTTACCCACAAAAGTAGCCCCACTTTCAAATCGTACTTTTCATAGATGTTGAATTATTTATCCACAACCTTGAAAGGCATGCTAGGCTTCTTTGTGCACCACGTGAAGCCCCGGAAACGACATGCTGCACCATAAAACCTTCACAATATGATGACCTTTAAGAGTAGAATTGACAAGATCTCCCTTTTAAAGGTTGAATATCTCCTCTCCCAATTTCCTTTCCTTTTTAAAAATGCATGAAATGAACGGAGTGTTTGTTCATAAAGTGGCTAACCTTGTTTTATTTAGTTTTTTCCCCCCCCCTGCCTTCAACAATTTATTTTATTTTTTTACTTCAATAAATGCGGCCTATCCTTGAGCTAACAAGGCAGATGAGAAGAGTCTTTTGTTTTGTTTTTTTAAAATACAGCCTGAATGTTTGCAGCAACTGCATTGCAACATATTTTCCACAGCAGGTGGAAGGAAGAAGCTTTTCAAGTTGAAAGATGCCTGAAACAGACTTTACTTTCAGTCTATCCACTCTTTCAGTTGCATCAGCAGCTGCCTTTCAGCCCTGCAGCTTTCTTACTAAGAATGCATCTCGTGTGCCTTTGTATACAAGCGTGTGTTTGTATTTGTCTGTGTGAAAATGAAGAGCTCTGCAAACAGTTTTTATCAGCATTCACTTCTTCCTTGTTATTGCCGTTGACCTTGACAAGTACTGCGGATTTTTTTTCCCTTCTGTATTGAGCTGAGTCTGTTCACTGACTTTTCCCCTGCTTTGCTTAAACTCATCCTAAGATAGAAAAAATTTAATATTTCCAGCTTATTGAAAATGGAAGTAATTGTGTCTTTCTCCATAACTGGGTTTCTCTTGACATTAAAGAGCTGAGCTGAGCTTCTATTGGCCACATAGAAATACAGCTTAAGAGCAGATGATGGAAGAAGTCCATGCAAAAATGATGTTATGTAGCAAAAGATGGAATTCAAGGTTAAAGTGCTAACGGTGATGAGAGAGGAAGGGGGAAAAAATGCAACAGACACGTCACAAAATTAAATTAAAGTCATGAAAGTGGCATTATGTAGTCCTTGCTATATGCTTCCAACATATCAGACTTGAAATACATCCCTGTTAGTCATCATTCTGCTACGAGGAACATAAAATTCAGGGTCAGTCCAGTTTTCAGTGCTGAGTAGAGAATTATTGGAGAACAGCTGCAGATTCTTTGAAAGTGTAAATATTACGGCCTTTCATTAGCACAAAGTGAGCATACAGTGCTTCCTGTTCATACAGTATTGTGCCATCCCACTGAGTCCATAAAATTATTTTCTATTAATGAAATCACGTAGTGTTCCTGTGGACTGCAGGGATAGAATATAAAGGCTGCAGGCTACAGAGAAGCAGTTGCCCACCTCTGCAGTTAACCTGTGCTGAGCAGGTGTCCAATAAAAATGGCGGGGTATTTTCAGGGAGGACAAATTTAATATTGTAGATTTTATCAATATAAAAGTGATCACTGAAGACACGGAATTGATTGGAAGACAGTTTTAGCAGATAGCAACTCTTACAGGCCTCTGTTTCTGCCTCTGCTTGCAAATCTTTCTCTCAAATATGCATGGGGAAAGGGGAAATTGAACTTACCCTACTGCTTCCAAAGGAACTAAGCGGTAAATAACAGGTTCTGCTTATCAAATACAGTCAGTGAGTGCTCATCAGCTGGTGTGAGCACCTCTATAAAAGCAGATGTTTTGGCAGTTTTTGTCAGATTTTTTTGCAATGCTCAAAAACGGCAAAAAAACAAAACAACAAACATATAAAAAACACCCAGGAGCTACATCTCAGACTCTGCAGGCTTGAATGTTCATGTTAAATGTTAAAGTTCATCACAGTGCAGTCTTGAACTGTCATGTCGAACAAGTCATAGTTGTTCAGCCGCAAAAGAGTGAACAAGTATGGCTCGTTTCGACGGGTTGCCAGGCGATGTGAGACTGATAAAGAGATGCAGAAAATGATTACTTCAAGTTATTGTGGCTAAAGGTGGTTTTACAGGTTGCTGAATCATCGATGTTTTTCTTCGGCCTCCATCGACTACCACGAAAACTTGCTCCTTGATGAGTCTGTCATTTGAAAGCGTTTACCATGGCTGGCTGTAAACCTAAGCAGCTATAACGCACAGTGTTTGACAGCATCATTAGCCTTTATCCTTGAGTTTTTTAAACATAAATTAGACAGCATAAATGATAACAGTAATGTAATTACAATAGCATCCCAGGTTTAATTCATCGTTGGGATTCTCTGTGCATTTCCTTTGATTCTGCAGCACAATTTACTTTGGCAAATGACACAGGGGTTTCTTTTTTTCTGCTTAGAAGCTTTGGTATTATCTAGAAAGATTACTACATGATAGAATGCTACAATCCTATTGGGGCCAGGGGACTTATGCATATAAGCCACATGTCTATTATTGACTGACTGTAGCTGCGAGATTGTAGGAAGATGTAATTCCTGGCTGGTTCACGTCCAGTATATGAGATTCACAGAAATGTGGCAGACAAATGTAACATATTTATATAACCAATTTATTTAGAAAACCCTATTTTTCATTATTTTGGTGATGTAATTCAACCGCATGCAACTGATTTAAAAAAAAAAAAAAATGTCTCCATGGCTCAAAGCTGCATACAGCCTGCAGAAGTCACACAATTATGCAGATGCGAATTTGAATGCTGTACATCGCTGCACATAAAGCGTTCAGGACAAATGTTCGGTCTCAGCTCACGCTGGCCGAGTCAATTACTGCACAGCACAGTAGCAAGTTGAGAGGCTACTGTTAAACCTAACCCCCCCCACACACACACACACACACACACACACACACACACACACACACACACACACACACACAATAAGCGCAGAAGCATGTGTTCCTGAGCATTGCAGATATGTAACTGGTAAACATGTCAACCAAGGTTGTGGGTTGTTTTCACATTGGCTCTGTGTGCATGAAGGAGTTTTATTATTCTGTAAATGTGTTTAAGTTATAATGGACACATTTTTAAGCTAGTTAACAATGTTATACTTTTTTTTTTTTTTTTTTTTTAGAATCAGTGAAATTAATGAATTCACACTTTATTTTGACAGATTGAACAGTAAGGGTTATTAAGCTTATGAGTAGCACCCTGCTTGATTTACAATCTCTTTACATGAGCTTGAATAAATTCATGTGGAGAGCCTGCATACCTTCAACATAATCAGCTTTTGCAGGTCCTAAACTGAAATAAGAACATTTCAGGTAAAGTTGCTGGATCTGCCATTCATAATTTCCAAGCAAGCAATTTCCATGTGCTTTAAATATGCATTGCATTGTTCTCCACTCAGTGCTGTAGAACGCCTGTATTCTCCTGATGGCAGAACCATTTGTGCCACAAAGTTTGGGCGAATAAGTCAGAATTGAGGTTGTTATATTCACACCAATGAGGCAGATGGTGCCTTTCTTTAAAATTAGTGGTGACAAAAGGTGCCATTACAGGTAATCTAAAAGCAGAGCAGGCAGCTTGTTAGGGGCCTAACTCTGTAGCCTTGTGCCAAATGTATATTACCTTAATGGAGTTTAAATGTAGATTTCCTTTTTATATACTGCAAGATGTTTGGTCATGCCAGCCAGCACTAATTTCAGAACAGTTTGAGCAAATGTTAAAATGACATCTGGAAGTCACTTTGAATTCCGTGTCCACCTTGAATACCGTGCGTCTACTAGAGAGTGAATGATGACATGTTTGTCGTCTGCAACTCGTGCACCCCAGATGGTGGACCTCAAAGAAGTATATTGGGAATGCCTGCTGAGCTGTTGGGTATTCAGCTGTCTGTGTTTGCAGTGGAGTGTAATATAGGCCCACGTTTTTGGTGTGTTTTTTCTTTTTCCTTTTCATGTCATTGTTTGCATGTTGAGTTTTAGAAGCATCTGGTCTTAACTGCGAGAACTTTTCAACTTTTGCTTTTCCCCCCCCTTTTTTTTTTGGATTGTCTCTTCGTGTTTACTGTTTGATTTATTCAGAATTTTTCACAGACCTCAACTGCAAAAGGCAACAGGCATCCAATGAAAGCAGACTTAAAAAGATAATACTATTTCAAAAAATGCCTCAAATTTATGTTATTACAAACATGGAGCTTTTTTCCCTTTCATCGTGTGATTTATTTGCTGAATAGTACCGAAACCTAGCGTTAGAAGGGCTAATGAAACTAGTGCTTGTAACCTTCCTCATACAAGGTCAGTTCAATTAGTGATGAGAAAGTGCTTTTACTGAACATGCCACAGCTAATCTTCAGCAGTAATGGTAGGGCACTGTCTATTTATGCAGTTTTTAATTTTTACCTTCAAGGTTTGTGTTATACTCAAGTGGAAAAACATCTTGAGCCGTGGAGGCTTTTATCCAGGTAGAAGTAGCGATGCAGGTATTTCATCACACCGTGACTCAGTGCCGTGTGTCACAGTGTAAGAAGCCTGGCAGGGAAGTTGCCGCAGGCTTTGAAGGGACCTTTTATCCATCCGTGGATTTAGCCATCCAAGTTTATGTCACTTTGTCAAATCATGTATGGATGAATCTGTCCGTGCGGTTTCAAGGTAGTATGGGTCACTATACTGGAGCGTGCTTGCGGACAGCTCTGTGGCCCTTTTTTGAACTCGCTCGCTGTCACTGATCTGGCAATGCTCCTACAGTTTAGTGTCCAGGTGGCTGCCTGAGCTCTGCTGTTGTGCCTACAATTTAAATCCCAATACAACAGCCCTAGCTGTCTCTGTGTGTACCGGCTCAGCAGAGTGAAACTGAACTGATGATTGTTGCAAACACTGGGAGCGTTTACATCCTCAAACATGCAGTGAGTGTTGGTAAACCAAACATATTTGGGAGGTGTAT